GGGCTTGGAAAATAATTCCCTTAAAACTACACATATATTCCCCTGGAAAATGTCTATTGTATTCTCAGGGATTAACTCCTCCAGTTTGAAGACTGCTGAGGTATATGATAACCAAGCTACGTGGTTAGAAAAGTCTTTCCACTACTGAAATAATGAATTGAAAGAGGCTTTCTATCCTACATGTGTTTCACTACATTTCTGTTCTCTCTTGAGTACATAGGGTAGGATAAATCCATCTTCTGTTGATGATACTCCAAACATTTTAAGAGGCTATGATACATTCCCCACATCTTTCCATCTCTAAGATTAATATTCCCAGCTCCTTGAATTGCTTATTATCTTTCATTATTTTCAGGCCCTTCACCTTTCTAGTCATCTTCCCATAAAGGACACTAATACTTACCAAATGTTTTCTGAATTTTCAAGTCCAAAACAATATAATGCTTCTATTGCCAGGGATAAAATATCAATCTTAGTAATTTTCTTTATAATGCAATGAGCTATTTATAGAATGCTTGCTTTACGCTCAGTGCTTAAAATAGCACTGCAAAAATGATTCTATTATTTTTCCCATTTTGCAGATGAGAAGACTGAACTAGAATAAAACTAGAACAAAGTAAAGAGCTTCACTGTGAGCTTTGTTTATTATTTATTTGCTAGGTGGGGCAGTAGTTGATTTAATAGTAACATGACAACATATAAGCATACTTCTATAGGTATGCAGGGATCCAGATTAGAGGAGATGTAAGATTAGGCAAAATGTCAAAATCAGCTGCACATTATCTGGAAAAGTCCCTGTAAATCTAAGAGGAGCCTGGTATATATCATGCTGCACTGTGTTTTGGAATGACTTGCCTAAGTCAAACTAGACTTTGTTCAGTCCACGGGAATCTGTGGAGATCCTGTAGACTGCTCCTGTTTGGAAGGAAGGACCTGAACAATGGAGATTTCTCATCTTCCCTCCTGCACTTCAACCAAGCATCTCTGCTTTTCTCTAGCTTTACATAATTACCCCAATCAGAAGTAGACAGAGGTAAAATAAAAATAAAAATAAAAATAGAAGAGTGTGTGTGAAAGAGAGAAACAGAAAGGGAAAGAGAGAGAGAAAAGCCATTAGTCATGAAAAGTAGTCATATAAAGAATACTGACTTTGGAATCAGTTTACCTGTGTTTCAGCCCAATAATATGTGTGGTAATATACTTCTCAGTGGGTTACTTAGACATGGCCTTTAAACACTTTGAACTTCAGTTTTCTCACCTTTCCTATAGCAGGTACTCACAGATTTTTGTTGAACAAGTGAGTAAATGAATAATTTTGTATTTTGGCAAAAATAACCTTGCAAGGTTGTAGAGAGGATTAATGCTAATATAGGATTTACTATAGCCTGGTACATAGTAGGTGTTTTGCAAATAATAATAGCTATAATTATTATTGATTTAATGTTTCTTAGATTTAGGTACAGGTGCCCATGTGGCACTTTTCTCTAAGTTAGATCGAGATTCTTCATTAAACTTGGAAGCAAATATTAAGTGCTGTTAAATATTTGGAATATGCTTATGTCCAGAGGGGCTTTCCCATTACAATGGAAGATTACAGGAATCTCAGAAGCTTCTTGGTTCTCTACTCTTGGGAGTGTGGCTTGTGAAGTTTGGTGCCAAAAATAGTGACAACAATGGTGTTGTCTGGGAGAAGCCTTGCCATTAAGCCAGATGTGCCAAAATCATGTGCCAACTCAGTGGGATCAATTCCTGCAGTCCAAGAGGTGTGCATATTTGCTGTCATTGCTCTTCCTTGAGTTTGAAACACACTACCCAATGACATCCAAATCTATGTATTTAGCACATTTGTCCTCTGGGTAAGAACAAATTATGACCCTACTGCCTATTCTTGAAAGAGAAAAGACAAAAAAGGGTCCCGTGCTTTTGACCTGAAAACTAATGTCTTTACCTAAATCATTTCCAATTAAATACCATTTTCTGGTGAATCACATTCATCTGCTGTAGACTGTAAGTTCTCCAGATTAAGACCTTGTCTTTTCATAGGGTGTATAAAATAATGCACACAGTTTTAGCACTCCTGTTATAACAGATGGCTATCATTTGTAACAAAAGAATAACATTGAAAGCCTTTTGACATGTCCTAGAAGCTTGGCGTGTAAGAAGAATTCCATTACATACATATCGCGATCCCATTACAACATGTTGTAAAGGTATGTTCCCCATAGGGAAAACCCAATAACTAATTCCTTCAGATCTAGAAAACAGACCATTGAGAGTTAATTCTTTTCTTTCTTTTTTTTTTGAGATGGAGCTTTGCTCTTTCTGCCCAGGCTGGAGTGCAATGGCACGATCTCGGCTCACTGCAACCTCTGCCTCCCGGATTCAAGCGATTCTCCTGTCTCAGCCTCCCGAGTAGCTGGGATTATAGGCACCTGTCACCATGCCTGGCTAATTCTTTTCTTTTCTTTTTTTTTTTTGGTATTTTTAGTAGAGACAGGGTTTCACCATGTTGGCCAGGCTGATCTCCAACTCCTGACCTCAGGTGATCCACCTGCCTCGACCTCCCAAAGTGCTGGGATTACAGGCGTAAGCCACCATGCATGGCCAAGAGTTAATTCTAATTATGTAAAAATTCTTTGCTTTACAAAATAACATTTTTTAAAAATCTTTTATTTTTTGCTGAAGAGTCTCTTGAAATAGCCAGATCTCTTTCTGGAGAATCTAAATTGGATTTGCTTTACAAAATGTTTATTAGACTCAACTCTTCAGGAGCAAAGCGAGTGTGAAAAAATGGGGCATTGCCTGTCAGGCATCAATGGTAAAACGTCACTTAATCACAGAGTTAAAAAAAAAAAAAAAAGGCTCACCATTCTATCCCCTGAGCCCACCAAAGTCAAATTGTCCAAATGTGGCACGTGGCTATTGCAGGCATCTGGTACTCTCATTCCAGGCAGAAAGGTGATGCTACCATTGGGGTGGGGGCGGGGGGCAGACATCAGTGACTATGTGAGCCTAAACAGAGAGTCAGAAGAAGGGACCCCCAGATTACAGACAGCCTTTTCCTCCACATGTCAGACCCTCTTTCTTTACACATATAGCAAATACAAGCAGATAACTGGGCATCAGTCATTTCTGAGGCATAGCATGAAAGAGCAACAACATACACTGCATCATTTATCAAGTAAGCTACAAGGCACTGTGCCAGACTCAAAGATGGAAAACAAGGAGGAAAGAAGAAAATACACATTTAGTAATACACCTGAGTGCCTTCAAACCATGCAATGTCTTTAGGTACTGTTCCCAGCTAGCTTCTCCAACAGAAAAATGAGCATACTCCATTTAAAAGCTGGATTCTGTAACTAAATGCACTATTCATATTTTTCCAAGCCTCCTAAACCAATAGTTAACTAGTCTCTTCCAAGATTTAGGGAGTCTGTTGAGTTCTTTTCTGGAAGTTCTATCCATTTTGCTAAAAGGTTGTGCTCCAAACACTTTACCAAGAATTAGGGCCAATGAAGGGGTACTTTGTGCAAGCTACAAATACTTGGAATTTTCATAAAGCAGTTCATTTCTGCCTTCCTGTGAATAATTTCATATTTCTTCCTTGTAAGACTATGCTTTGTGTGCTCATGAGTGTCTAGAGTGACAGAATAGAAGGAGTGTTTAATACATCGAGTGAGTCTGGGGCCTAGAGATGAGGATGTGAGGGCTGCAAGAAGGATCATGAATCAGATGGAGTGAAAGATAACTTGGAAACTCCAGGGGAGAAAAATGGTTAATTTCGATTGTTTAATTTGTTCAGGTTTGTGTTTTGGGTTCTGTCACACCTGTGTTGAGAAATGTCCCTGTCATCTAATGCACGCAGTTTATGTTCAGAACCAGGGGCAGCACAGAGAGGAATTGGGGGTGGGGGAAATTTTCATCAGCCACCAGGGAGAAAGTCTGATCTGTGCACTGATGGGAAATGGTTATCCAGGGTGTAAAAGTGTGATTCTGGGACCAAAGGGTCAGCTCTAGAACGAAATCAGACAGCTGGAGAACTGAAGATTCAACTCTTCCTAGGCAAGAGAGTGAGAAAGGTGGGTTGTTTGCAGGGTGGGGATGGGGGTTGCTCCTCCTAGTTCCTGGGCTGGAGAAGGGCAGCGAACTGGGAAGTGTGTGTCAGAGGCTCGCTATGCTAGGACAAGGTGTTGGGGTGCTAGGGTGGGTGGGGGCCTGAGGGGTGGCTTGGAGCCCTGGCAGTGGCTGCCTGACGTCACCGGCCTCTCTGGCAATAGGCTGCGAGCTCAGCTCGCTGAAGCGGCGGCGAAGGCGGCGGCAGCGGCAGCAGCAGCACGGTTCGGTCTCTGGCCCATTCAATCCGCGCCTTCTGCAGCCGCCACTGCAGCCGCGCGGCGGGGGCTCCCTCCTTGCAGCCAGCTGGCGGTCCAGGTAAGAGACAAGGTGTGACTAAAGGCTTCTGATGGCCGGGTGGCCTGACGGCCAGGCGCGAGTGGGGAGGACAGCTCACGCGGCCTGTGCAGCCACCCCGGTCATAGCTCCAGCCCCCGGCCCTGGCCTCTGCCCCGGCTTGCTTGCGCGCTGCCTCGCTGCTCCGCAGTGCAACAGTTTGCAGCTGCCTCTTGGGAACAGCAAGGAGGCTCTCCTGTGCGCTGCGGGTCTACCGGCTCCGGTACGCCGGAAAAGCCTCGGGGCCTTCGGGCTGGGTCTAGGAAGGACTGAAAGAAGGTCTGTTCCCCAAACTTTGCAGGCGGGAACCCTCCTCTTTCCATTCCAGTTCCTCTAGAAGGAATCAGGCTACTGCCAAGTTGGGGACATAGAGAGATGGGGAGGAGGGGGCCGTTTGTGGGAATGTGTCAGCTGAGAAAGATGCTTCAGCTGCTTTTTTGTTGTTGTTTGGAGAGGGGAGAATGCCAGGGAAGAAGGCTGGAGAAGAGATGGAGCGCGTTCCTGCTCGTCAGCCGCGGTCGCGGACAGAGGCAGAGTGGGATGTGGTTCCAGGGGTATCCCCCTGGGAATGGGACCCAAGGGATCTGATGCCGTCCAGGGAGGGCAAGTCTGGAGGGGGAGGGAAAGGAAGGACTGCGTACCCGGAGCCCCCGCGGTGGCCCGGAGTGGGTGCTGGGAGGGGAGGGATCCAGGCGAAGACATCCACCGAGAGGGCGCAGAAAAGAGGAGAGCCGGAGCTCTGGGAAGTAGGGACTTCAATCCGAAGCGGCTGCTTGTCTGTTGCAATTATAAAGTTGTGAAGGGCGGAAGGGAGGTTGCCTTATTTGCTGAGTAATCTGCACCTCCGCGGTGCCGGCGTAGACCCCATCCTGTCGAGTGGGGTGAGCAGGCTGCTGGTGGCTCTGTTGCACGGCCACGGGTGGGCAGGCTGGGGTCCGCTGACCGAAAATACGGGCAGCGCCCAGCTCAGGCAGCGTGCCCTGAGGGCCGCTTTGCGGTGGTGGTTGATTCTTCCCGACCGCACTCCCCTGGGCAGCGGTCGAGATTCTAACTAAGCTTTGTGTCTTTGCAGCCTGGTGCCTCCGCGAAGGAAAGGTGCGCGTGTGAAGACGCGTTCCAGGTGGGATCGGCGAGGATCTCTCGGGCGCCGCTCACTCCTTGGTCGCCTTGCTTGCCAGCAGTTGCTCCCTTAGTCCTTGGCTTGCTCGCACACCCCCTCCCTCTACAGGGAGCAGTTTTGGGTGGCGTGGGCTCCGTCCTCTTCTTGGCTGGTGGGAACAGTGTGCCCAAGAGGGGAAGCCTAGTGGGCCCGGCCCCTCCCAGCCCCGCGCCAATGAGTGCCAGGGCGCCGAAGGAGCTGAGGCTGGCGTTGCCGCCGTGTCTCCTCAACCGGACCTTTGCTTCCCCCAACGCCAGCGGCAGCGGCAACACGGGTGCCCGCGGCCCAGGCGCAGGTGGCAGTGGCACCTGCATCACGCAGGTGGGACAGCAGCTTTTCCAGTCCTTCTCCTCCACGCTGGTGCTGATTGTCCTGGTTACCCTCATCTTCTGCCTCATCGTGCTGTCCCTCTCCACTTTCCACATCCACAAGCGTAGGATGAAGAAGCGGAAGATGCAGAGGGCTCAGGAGGAATATGAGCGGGATCACTGCAGCGGCAGCCGCGGTGGCGGGGGTCTGCCCCGACCTGGCAGGCAGGCCCCAACCCACACAAAGGAAACCCGGCTGGAGAGGCAGCCCCGGGACTCTCCCTTCTGTGCCCCTTCCAACGCCTCGTCGTCCTCCTCTTCGTCCCCTGGCCTCCCGTGCCAGGGTCCCTGTGCTCCTCCGCCTCCACCGCCAGCCTCCAGTCCCCAAGGAGCACACGCAGCTTCCTCCTGTTTGGACACAGCTGGCGAGGGCCTTTTGCAAACGGTGGTACTGTCCTGATCGTCTAGCCCCTCTCGTTCCCCGTCCTTGTTTCCATCATCTTTGCCATCCTTGCTTTTTTCCTCCTTCCTTCCTTTTCCATTTTCCTCTGGCCCCTCTTTTCCTCTTCCTGGTTTCCTTATCTGCCCTCCCCTTACTCTTGTTTCTCCTCTGCCGAGGCACTGTGCGGTATTTGTAAATATTGGGCGAGGAAAGTCTCGGAAGAAGAAATAACGCTGATAATAATACTTTATTAATATAGTAATTATTATAATACTAATAACACAATCCAAGCGCATGACAAATCACATAATTTCTCATTGTCAATGAAGGATGCATCTTCCCACTCCAATCCGCGCTCCCCTCAATTAGGAGGAGAAACCGCACAAGCTACCAAATATATAAAAGGCATTGATTCCCGAAGCAAAGGGAGGGGAGGGGGCCCGGTAATGTACATAGCTGTCAAGTTAAGGTTTAGTTTCCTTCCTTCCCCTCTGACCCCTAAGCTTTCACTTTTTCTTTAGCTTCCCTCTCCTCCCCATTCCCACCCTCAGCCGGGCTCAGGCAATAGTATATTATAAAGAAAACGTCTACATTAAGCACCAGGACTGCAAGAGGGCATAGAGAATAGTCCCCAGAAAGTGTTTATGACAGGTACCCCTCGCCAGTCAGCCCATTTCTCACCCTCTGGTTAACTATTACCTATTACCTTTTCCAGGACAGAACCTTTAATTTACTTTTTAAAATGACCCTCGCTGGCCGAGCATAAGTACGTTAAAATCTTTAAATGAGTTTTTTAAAAAAGCTAACGCTTTCACTCCCTGCCCCGCCCCCACCCATACACCTTTGACCTGTGACATTTTCAGGATTTACAGAGGATCTGGGAGCTGTCCAGCCAGGTCTGGTGCTGAAGTCGCCTCACCGTTCTGATTACTTCCTCTAGTTGTGAAGGCGGAGGAGGGGCTGTTTTGGAAAATGACTATTCTGGCTTTTGGTTGGGTTCTTTCTTCTTTTTCTACAATCGAGTTAGCGTGTACTATTGGTTTTCTTATTATTAAACATTGCATAAGTTACCTTTTTTGTAAAAAAAAAAAAAAAGTATTAGGTGATGTGCAGTACTGAAAGTGCAGTATCTAACCAACTAGAATGTTTCTGTTTTATTTTTAGAACAAGTGCACCTTTGTTATATATTTATTATATTGGTACCAAATACAGAAAAAAACTATAGTTCTGTACTATGTCCTCCAAACTGTATATTATTGTTCTTAATTTCCAGCTGTTGATATAATGGTTACCACTGGATGAGAAATTCAGTGGTGCAGACCTGGCTTCCGCTGTTTCCAGAAGTGTTCTTTTGTACCTTATTCTGTAGTAGACTGTTATAAAAAGATGACACACATGCTTTATTTATTTTTTTTTTTTTGCAAATAATAGAAAAAAACACAACCACAGAAACAAACAAATAATGGATGTGCAAGAATGCCATCTATTAAAAACATGGTTAATATTTAAACAGTGCCTGTAGTTCTCCCTGCATGCAGTTACCACCTGGAGGCAGTGGTGTTTGTGCTTGCTTGTACTGTATGTGGTTGGGGATGAGACTGGTGGGGATGTTGGGCAATTTGGATGACAGGACATGCGAATTTCAAGAAAAGTTATATCCAGTAATTACTTATAGGATAAAAATGTTTGCAGCTTGTTTGTTTAGTTACAAATCTGTGCCTGCAGCAAAGGAAAGGCTATCTTTCTCAGTCTGTCCTAACTTCACTGAACATACAAAAACACTGAGAAAATAAGATAAATATTTTATTATTTTCTAATGCCAGACAAGGCCATCTATGTTAGAAATGGAATTAGTCTATAGTTATTTACCACTTTGTTTCCTTTGGTTGAATGATAGAAGAAGCCAGAAGCATATTACAATATTAGTTATATGCAGTGGCATCTCTTCTTGGAAATCAAGCCTTTGACAGCTATTCAAATTTTTGGAAAATGTATGAATGAAAATGATCTGCAAAAAGCTCTACCAAAAGAGTCCTTACTATCCTGCAGGGTGTAAGGCAACAGTGCCCCTATGAGCATCCCTCTCCCAAGCAACTAGTTGTTCTAAATTGTCTACTTGGTCCATACATATGTGCTCTTATCCAGAGGAAATATTACCTCTAATATTTTTGGTCATCTATTAAATTGTCCAAGCTCAGTCTGCATCTTTTATAAAAATAATTTAATAAACTTAATTTTAATCACCCATAAGATAATCACCTTTCCTGAAGCACAGAAGATCATCACTGAGGCATGCCATCTTGTAATATTAGGAAGACCAGGTATAATCTTTGGGTACAATATATTAAACAATGAACCAGTTTTTCTCCAGTGCCTTAGTCACTTCCTAGTAATAGGTAAAAGAGTGCATTAACTCCCTCAGGCCACTAGGGAATCCTTTAGTGCATCAGAGTTCTACATTGTACATCAGAATGACTAAGGCACTGTGAAGAAGAAAGTCCATTAATTTTTGTAGCTTACCCTCATCCAGTGGTAGCTCTTTAATACTTTATTACAGAACGACTTTTGGACTTGAAATTTAAATAGAATCAGGGACCCAGAAGGGAGCTTCGTCATTTCCAATGAGCTCCAATAAGTGCATGGATATTACTTTCTTCCCCTTATTTGGTGCACTTTCTACAGTGAATAATTTCCCATTTTATTAAAGCAATAAGATGTTCTGTTGTGAGCAGTGCTGGATAACGATTCCATTTTCTTGGTGCTGAAGCTACGCATATGTTCTTGCCTTATGAATCATAGTGTATTCAAGGCATGCAATAATAATCCCCTTCCAAGGAGCAGCCTGTACACTCTGTGGGGTAATTATGAAATTGTCCTACATCATTTTTCCCCAAAGGAATGCAAGGAGCAAGAAAAATAAAAGCATTATGTATATTGTAAAACAAATGATCTCAATACCTCTCAACATGGGCACACATCTGTAATACACTTTTATTGTGCACCTTTAAATGTGTATGCCTTTCTCCATTAATTGACTGTAGTTTAATATTTTAATAGTGCTCTGTGTAAAGATGATGCAGTTTGTGAGTCAGATTTCATACTGAGCTTAATATACTCAGAACCTAAGCTTCCAGTGGTATCACTTGTGATTTTTTTATGAGATAGAGAATTACATGAAATTCTAGTAAGCCAGTTCCCACACCAAATTATTTCAATAAGCACACATCCAAGCAATTTATACAGACCTTGTTTAAAGCACTGCTTCTTATAGAGCTCAATTGGCAGTCTCAGGAGTTTGGGATGCTACCAACAGGGCATTGAGGTTTTCATTTTTATGAAACAAAAGGCAATCTGGAAATAGCTAAATTTGTTTTAAGGATTTTATTCACTGATGTCCCGTCAAACTAATTGCTTCAAACCCCTATAGCTACAGCTTAACTTCTGCACTTGCTATTCAGTATTAATAAGGTGGCATGCTTGATTCTTATTGTTTTTAAAAATGAGAAAATTTGGAGAGAGAATACTATTATGTCAACTGTACCAGACTCTGAATCTTAAAGACGTAGATGGATATAATCTTTAGACTTTATATACATCCATAGATATGTATTTATATATGCATACGTTTTGTATAAATTTACAATTGACTTTTTGTATTCTCTTTTCTGTCATTACAAGAATGAGATGGAAACCAAAATAGTTGTTCCATCCTCTTATCCAAAGAGGATACTGAAAAGTCAGGTATGTGCATGCACTTATTTCTCTGGGGTCAAATCAGAATGACTTTCTCTTTAATAATGAAAGGGGAGAGTCCTGGTTAGCTTGGAAAACTGGTAATTAGATAAGCTTCCTTTCCTAGGTTAGTGACAATGTAGCAATGATGATAAAGTTATGACCCATATCAATGTGGTCTAAATATCTAGATGGAAAGCAAAAATATCCAGAAGAGGTTTAGGGCCATCTAAACCACAAACCTGGAACCTGGATTGTGGTTTGATGTTTTTCATTTTCAACCTATATGTTGTGTAGAGATACAATTTATATCTGCATAGCTAAAGGTAAAGTGAAAATATGACTATTATCTGTTTAGTTTGATAAATCATTTTTGGATAATATGGGTAAAATTAGCTTTAAGAAACTTCTTTGACATCTGACTTTTCCACCATTTCTATCTGCATCAATTGTATTAATTAGATAATGGTTAAATTTTATTTTTTTATCATGTAGACATATGCTTTAATGCTTTTCTGTGGGTGAAAGTTGAACAGTTGCTAGCTGATATTATGTGGAAGTTACAGGTTAAATTAGAACCAGAAATTTTAACATAGTCTTATCAGGTTCCTTAGTCCCATTCCCATGTGAATCTGAACTTTGAATTTGAATCTGAAAGGCCTTTGAATTTGGATCTGAAAGGCCTACTTATTTGGGCCATTTTTTATTGGAACTTGTGATTGTGACTCACAGATGTTTCAGTTCATATTAGAATAAATTGCCCAATCTATAAGAGTGTTGAATCATTGGAATGAATGTAAATCTGATTCTGATTTGGTTTGCTATTTATTTGGTAACATTTGAGAAACAGCTAATGTGGCTTGACATCAATACTTATTAATGTCACCAACCTAATAATACAATTGGTGCCATGTATGAATGCTTAGCTGACAATAAGAATTTAATTAACTTTATTTGGAGACAATGACTTCTCAAGGAGGTCCTACCCATTTGAGGTAGGGATATTTCCCTTATAGTTGTGATTACAAGGGATTGTTTCTATGGAGAGATTAACAACAACAACAGTAACAATGATGACAACAACAGAAAAACTGACTTTTGAACTTGAGTATATCCAATAGATAGAAGAAAAAAGATTAGAATTCATGGAAAATTTGTTTTGCTTTTCTATCAATAAAAGAGTTTTCTTGTTAATTGGCTTTTTGGACAGTATTTCCTTACCAATTTAATATATAATATACCAGGATAACATAATTACTTACTCTATTATACTCAGATGCTCAAAGAAATTATATTGTTTTCAAAAAATTTTTATAACTTATCTGCTCTTCCTCACAAACCAACTACATCTTAGAAATGGGATGTATATAAAATTTAGGACAACCCAATAAACAGTCCAGTATAATAAGGTAGCAGCTCCTTTACACAGATGCTCAGGATCTTGAGGTCATATGCTTAAATTCTCAGATTTCCTCTTTCTCTGCCTCCACTTCTCTAATATAATATAATCAGGTATATCAGGAAGGGATGTGGCTGACATGATTTTGTGCCAATTAAGGGAAAGGTAGCCTCCAACCGGTCTGATGGATCCTAGCTGAACCCTGCTGAAAGGATCTGTTCCCTAGTTTGAAGTGCTATTGTCCTACTGGCTTTTGTGTTGACATTTACCACAGCAATTTTACACCATGGACGTTTGTCCTCCATTTCAAACACATACATCCTGACCCTGGCCATCTATAGGTCCACCAGTGCTCTCACACAATGTCTCCTTCTTGGAGATGCAGGAAGTTCTGGGTGCCCTGCATGCCATGGACCTATTGGTGAAAAGCCTGGGTCTATCTTGGGATTATTCATCTATCCATCCACCTCCTCCTCCACCTCAATTCTACTAATCTTACTTCATATGTTGAATGGTGCCATGAGGGTTTCTTCTGAGGTCTTGAGACCCAAACTAATATATTTAAGGGAAGGGAGTTTACCATTTATCTCCAATCCTTGAGCTTCTCCAAAGCTATGTAGATGTTTTCAAGCCAACACCACTCCTTTGGCTCCTAAATATATGTGAAGAGGAGCATGAAAGCTTTAATGGCCACCTGCTTCACTTTTCTCTTACTTTTCTCAAAATTGCTCCAAACTGCAAGAAGCAAGTATTTCCCTTAATGCCTACTTTTCTCTACCCAAGACTCCTCCTACTATGGTTAGTTTCCTGCTTCTGCAATGGACTTAATCATCTTCTTCCTGATGTCAGCATTATGATTAACTCTTAAGGGCAGTTGGACAGGGTGTAAGAGACAAAAAGGTAAGCTTATTAAGGGATCCTAAATCAGGACCTATTTGAAACATTATGCCACACACCATAGTAAATTTCCGTATTCCTACAAGGGACATGTACTCATGATTAAGCTCCTGCCCTCCCCTTTTCCATGAAGGTGGGAGCTTGATTATCTTGATTGTATTTTCATATTAACTTCACTCAGTTCCTCTAAATTGGCTAGAAAACCTGAGTACTAAACCTTATATCACTCTATGTCCCTAAGAAGGCACCAACTCTACCATATACTGGACCATTATTTCACCCTATCCCTTACCCTTTAGGAGCTGCAGATTGTGTGTAGGAAATACTTCTCTTAAGCTTGGATAAACTTCGAGTGGATCTTGAATACTGGAGTGGAGATGAGTAGCTACTCGATGTAAAGGCAGCAGCAAGTAAAGATTGGTACAACCCTATCCCTAGCCATTGTCCTCTGTATCCCCAGTAGGTATATGTGCTCTAACTTCAGCTGTTTGGCTCAAGAGAGGGATGAGTAGTAACTCAGCTAGCTCTTACAAGACAAGCATGGTTCCATTCCCCAACTCCTTCAATCTCTCTGGGTGGATTAATTTATGAAATATTAGCTGTGTATTCTCTTTCTGATTAGTTGTTGAAATCCAGTCACTCTTTCCAGAATATCATCTCCAGATATGTTCCAGGCTTGAATTGATGCAGATAATATTGGGTTTCCCTCTCTCAAAAAGTGGCTCTACCTTTTAAAACTTTACAAAACAAGAAGAAGCTCTTGTGATAACCTTTCTTAACCCCTCTTTTTCAACTTATGCTGAATATCATCTATCTGTGTTTGCAAATCCTGTCTCTTCTTGGATCATGACCTTAACTCAGGATTTTAAATTTTAGCCTGGAGGTTTGTAGTCACTTTGTGGTACAAAATTTTCAGCACATGGAATCTCAAAAATTTAGGAAAGCCGCTACTAACCTCAATGTATTTAGGTGGCAAAAATGCATTGAGATGACAAAAATACTCACTCTTCACATAAAGATGTGCAAAACAAATGTGGCTACTTTATTTTCCTATAATTCATCTTATCTTCTTCACAGGGACCTATTTGCTTGGTAGTTTTCTTAAGAAAGTCACCACATTATCAAATTTTCTCTCTTTCCTGTGCCCCTTTCCAAGGCTGTGTCTGGGTATAATTTATGTTATCTCATGGTGGCAGAGGAAAAAGGCTCCTCAGATCTATGCAGAGTTCAAGGAATCCTTGCTGGTTCAACTGGAGAGTGGCCAGTCTGGTTTGCTTCCCAAACTGGTGGCTGCTATGCTACAGCAAGTCCTATCTTGTACCCCCAGTTGGAGCCCAGGATCCTGGACAATTTTCCATTCTCAAACTTTGAGTCTACCATGGCTTTTTGTTCCAACTGAAGAATTTTGCCATTTTACTGTATTCTAAGCATCCCTGGGCTCCTTTAACTGGGACAAATGGGAATTTCTGGGTTCTATTCAGATGATAGAAAACAAGAAGCCTTCTAGTAGCCTACTGCCATGACCATCACCCCATTGCCACTGCCTTCTTGTTGGAAACAGGAAAGTACAGTAGCTCTCTCTATTAATGTTTCCCACTAGTAAAGACATGGATACTTGCTAAAACCCTTACTACCCTCAAAGTTCTCTGGCTTCCGGATCCTATCAGAATGCTTATTATTGGATCCCTCTCTATTGCAACTTTTCTCTGAATCAAGGGTCTTGGGGAGTAAGAGTCTTACAATTCGTCTTCCTCAGTCATTATTAGACTCCTCTCTCTCCCCTCCCCAAATTGCCCAGGACTGGAAAGGATAGACTTTTCTATGTGGTCCCTTAAGGACTTCCTTTAGTACAAAGGTGTAATCAGACAGGATAGTGTAGATTTGGGGCTTTTTGCTTTCTACACACCACATTCTATACATTGACTGTAGCTTCACGGCTGTCTTAAAATGGAAACTAGAATGTGGAAGAGAGATAAATGAGCCTACATGGGAAGGCATGTCAGAAATATTTTGTTAGTTACACTTGAATATACGTAGGTGATTATTTCAAATGGCATGGTAGGAATTCAATGATGACAGAAATAACACTGTTTCCCCCTTTGCTTGCCAAAGTATGAACCCTTAATTCCGTATGAACTAAGTTAAAAGCTTAGTTCCTGTGATTAATGTATCTTCTGGCAAGCACCCTTGAGAAAGATCGTAACTGCCAGCAGTCTTTGCACCTCCATATGGATTGGCCTTTTTTAGGGATCCCCTGATGGAAAGGAGAGGAGGCAGTACAGGTCACTCAGTTCCAAAGGGGAGTAAAGAACAAAGAAAGGGGAGTAAAGAACAAAGAAAGGGGAGTAAAGAACAAAGAAAGGAGAGGCAGAGAAAGGCTCACTTCTCTACCTTTGCCTTGTGGCAAAAGCTTCCCTGGGGCATCCTTCCCACACCCACCATCACAAGTTTTTCTGGTGGGAGATGCATGAAAGATTGTGCTCTACAAGTGGAAATTGGCCATGCTGTATGGCAGGATTATTTTCAGGGTCTACCTTGGTTACTTCTGTTCTTAAACTTTTAGGTAGTTTCATTTCTTTGTCCCAGGGAAACTGTCCTATTACTGACAGTTGTCAATCAGCCTGCAGTCCTTGCTGTTATGACCACATTCTGATAACAAATTAGCTAATCCTTGCTTGACCACTGACTAGGTGTCATTGACTGATACATGTATCCAGTTGAAGAGATAATCCCTTTGAACCCTTCAGCTCTAATATTGAGAGTTTATTCAGTCAACAGATATTTATTGTAAGCCAAATATATGGCAGACATCATTTTGTCCCAGAAATGCAGCCGTAAACAATGTAAGCAAATGTCCTGCCCTCACGGGGGTTTCTTCTAGTGGAGAGAGATAATAAACAAAACACCTAAGTAAGTTCTGGAGTACATTACAGAGAGAAAAGTACTCTGAAGACAAAGAGGGGAAGGGCGGGGCGGGGTGGGGGTGTGGTTTTTAAAGAGGGTGGTTAGAGACAGCCTCTGATATTTGAGCAAAGACTTGAAGAAGCCATGCAGATGTAAGGTTTAATTGAATAAAAATTGTTTGTATAGAAGAATTTTTGAAAACTAATTTCACCCAGCCTCCTAATTTTATAAATGAGCAAATTGGATTTTGGTAAGAAGAAGGCAAAAAAACTTATGCTTACGGAACATTGTGTCAGGTACTGACACTCCCAAACTAGAGAGGAGTGATGAAATCTGCTGGTACTTTGAGTAGTTTGTAGTCTAATTAACCAATAAATTTAAATTTGATTCAAGTGTGGTAATAAATGTGTGAAAAAGTACTTCAAAGCACAAAGAAGTAACAACTAAGTCTATCTGGGAAGGTTAGGAAAAGGTTTCCCATATTTTAGTTGGGTTTTGAGGGATAAGCAGCAATTCACCAAAATAAGAAAAAGCTTTTGAAGCAGGAGCAAAAGCACATACAAAAACACAGAGATAAGAGTATTCTATATATTTACACAAGCGTTATGCTGTTCATACTGGGATTGTCAAAAGAGAAATCTGAAAAGTAAAAGCAAGCCAGATCATTAAGGGCTCTGCAAGGGCAGCTTTTAAAGATATGCCTTTTCTGTTGTTGGTGGGGAATTAGTGAGAAATTTTGAATATAGAGCTGAGTTATAGATTTGGGTTTATTATAGATTAGGAGGATCACTGTATGGAACAGATATAATGGTGATTAAGACATGATATGAAGCAGCTGCAATAATCCTGTGGCACAGGATGAGAGTTTGAACCAATGGAGATGGGGATGAAAAATAAGGGCATATTCAAGTGCATGTTAGGTTATGGAACTGGTGGGGTTGGTGATTCATAGATGCATGGTGTGAGGGAAAAGAGCAAAAAGGGGAGGAAAGGGCAGAGAATAGATTTATGCTTTCTATTTTGTGACTCAAAGCAACCCCAGTTGGGTGCTGTTCATCTGTCATGACTTGGTGACAAAGTTAATAAAAGGGAGTTCAAAGGAAGGTTCTGGGCTTTGCTGGCACAGCCTTTGATGAGTTTGTCCTCAGACCACGTTCAGAATGTGGTGAACCATAGCTCTACGGAGCAGTCCGCAATTTGCTGTGTGAGCTTCACTAAGTAGCATTGTCACCATCTTGTAGTTACTGATAACCGCTACTCATAGTCTGTCATGTTGAAGGAGGGCTCCATATGTCTGGAAGTGTGTGTTCTGACATTAGCTGCTAGGCCATTTGTTGCAATTCTGAGGCATGCCTGCATAGAATCATGACATTACACAGGATCTACTATAAACCTCACTTTACTCTCTTGGAATACAGTGATCAGATAGGACCCCATTGACAGGAATAAGAATCAATATACTGCTGAGAAGGAACCCATGGTGTTGGTGAAGATGTTGAAAAGCCAACACAGCCAGTAATGTGGAGAAATGGCCTGGGTTCAAATCTTGGCTCTGACACTTGGTAGGTATGAGACCTTGGAGAAGTTTCTGAACTTCTCCATGCTTTAGTTTTATGAAGGTTTATTGTGTGGATTAAATTAGAAAACATATGCAAATATCTAACAATAGTGGGCAATGAGTGTATGGTAGTCCCTGTTCTGGCTTCTTTTATAAGGATTGGTTGGGGAAGGGAAGGAGTAATTTTCTGATAGATGATTAATAGCAAACTCGTGTTCTTTGTGCTCTAATGTCACATTCCAATCTCTAGCAAAGTGCCTGGCACATAGCAGTTGTTTAGTAAAGACATTGATATCTTTAAGATACTGATATCTAAAAGTACTCTGGTACTGCTGTAAAAGGAGTCTTACCAGAATCACACCAGCAAAAAAAAAAAAAAAAGGCAAACAGCAACAGTATATTTGCAAGTCATCAGTTTCACTTGACTTCTAGATGGCAATAAGAGTGGCATCATTGGAATCTTTGGCATTGTTCAATAATCTATATCTTCAAGGAAATGTTTGGCAGATACAGCATTTCTCCCCTAGCCTGCTCCTCTACACTCTGCTTGCCTGAATAGCCCAACAAAGCTTGCTTTTGGGACCCAAGCCCTCATACTTCTCATGGCTGGTACAGGAGCAGTGAGTCAGCCATAGGAACTGAAGCCAAATGGACATATGTTGAAGGAAAAGCATCAGGTAATCAATCAGTCACCTGGCATTTGCTCAAGTCTTCTGCACTGAGGGAGATGCTAAAGAAAGCAGGGTTCCTTCTCTCAAAGAGTTTATGACTCAGGGAGAAAAGACTTTCAGAATGAAATAATACAAGGAAACCAAGGTAAAATGGCAATTAGAAATAAAAATAAGCCCACGTTGAGTGAACACAAACTGATCTTTGATGATGCAATCTTCTTTTAGTCTCATGTCTAGAATGGGAGCTGTAAGATTCTGCTTGCTTGTAGATAGAGAAATCTGCATCTGAGAGCAGGATTTGAAGTTGAGGCAAGGAAAGGCCCAGGTTCTGTTCCTTCTGACTAGAAAGCATGGCACTGTCTCTCAGTGGTAATGAAAACAACACGTTTCTGGTAGAATTGACACAATGCATCATTCCTCTTTTTTAATCCTTCCACCTACCCCAGGGCACTCATATACTCTCCGAACTGCTCAGTGTACTGCTCTGTGACCCACTCCCACTTGAAGGGCTGCCCTCTTATATTTAGATTCATTTTATCTCTCTGAACATTTAAAATGAAAGCGTGCCCCTGTCATAATAGCACCTGTGACCTACTCCTTATCTTCTCAGGACCATACTCTTTGCAACACTGAGCATGTGTATTTGGTATTAATCTGCAATAGTGACTCAATGATTTAAGATAACATTTTCATTTTCACAGAAACCTCCAACATCTCAGGCAGGAGGAAATATTTTGGGACACAGCTTTGGGTACAGGAGGGTTGATGTGAGTACTCTTCCAAGTCAATCAAGGGAGTAGTCACCTGCTTAACTCTGCCTTTAGCAGCCAAGACCCAGGACATTTAAGACCTACAGAGTGCTCAAGTCCTGAAAAACACGTAACTCCCCAATCTATCCCTGCCATGTGATTTAATATAAAAACAACATAAAACAGAACAGTAAGGAGGTACATGACTAATAATGTTTTAATTTTAACCATGGCAATTATTTTAATGCCTTGTTGAAATAACAGTTTGTTTTTTTTTTTATGCTCAGTCTGCCTTATGGAAAACCTAGCTAGCATCAAACTGAACTTATGGAGTGACTTGGCAGCCTAGTGTTGCCTTTAGAAGAGCTAATGGCTCATATTATGACTGATGGACTGGGTGTGGAAAGTTTGTCAACCAACCCTCTGAATCTGCTGAGCTCAGCCCAAAGGAAGAGATATTGCTGGCTTCACATTAACGTGGTCCCTACCATGAAGAAAGGAATGCTGGGACCACAGCGTCTTTGTAGGCCTGTTTGACACTGATTTCAACACTTTCATTCGGGTTTGAGGGCCACCTTGGCCATGTGGACCATGACAACAAGCTCATTCCCGCAGCCTCTAATCAGTAGGCTTTTTGCATCTTTGGAGGCCAGAGCTTCTCAGGAGCTATTCCAAAGCAATCAGTCATGACTGAATTAGACTGCCTCTGGGTCACACCACCTGTGGGCCTTCAGTGGAATCTGCTCAGCCTTCATTATTTTTCCAGGAAGCCATCTGCACAAGGTTTTTTTTAAAAAGTTAGGGGCTCCAGGAAGGCCCCATTTCAACACAGCAGAAAATGACTGATATTTGTTCTTTATTAAAAAAGAAAAGCATCAGCATTATTTTTAAAAAGGGACACTTCAGTACATATTATGAACTCTCTTATCCAGACACAAGGCAGGTGTCCTTGTTTACACCTTTTCTGTATCCAGCTAAAACGTCTCACTTAACATTCAGAGTAAACTTTCAGGGTTTATTATTCCCATTTTATAGATAAAGCACTGAAGCTCATGGAGATTAAGTAATTTCCTGGGTCATCCATCTAATAAGTGACTGAGTGTGGATTGAATTATAGTTTGCCTAACTCTAATGCCTCTGCTCTTTTTTCTCCTTGCTACCAGACAAAAACACCATTCCTGTGACTTTTTCTTATCAATTTCAAATACATTATTTCTATGAGACTGTTTAAGCACCCCTTAAAACTCACCTTTAAAACAAACAAAAAAAAATAGTATGACAACAATGTATGTAGCTGTCAAGAGAACTTCTTGAAATGTAGTACAGGGACCCATTCATATGAGAATCTGAGGGGACAATAGAAAAGGGAAGGAAGATTGTCAAACCTTCTAAATCCATAGGTTACTTGGACTTGATCCAATACTTAGTGGATCTGAATCTCTGGAGGCAGGTCTCAGGAATTTGTATCTTTATCAAATTCCCCAAGTGATGCCAATGCAAACTAAAATCACTGTCCCAGAGGGATGCCTGATGAGGAAGAGTGAGGATCTTGGGGAAAATCTAATTTCTATACATTTTTTCAAGATTTGAATGGGAAACAGTTTTTTTTTTTTTTCAGGATTCTATGAAGTGCCATCCAGTGCAATGCTCTTTAACTGTTTGTTTGTTATTGTGGAAGAGATATGTTGTTTCTCTGTGCACTTACATGTAGCAATGGAATGACCTGAATTTTTCAGGTCATTTTTGTTGGTATGAAGGAAACAACAACAAAAAATCTCATGTCCCTCAAATCTTCCTGTAAGAGTCAACAGATCTGGCAAGATCTCTCCTTCTAAAGACAAGTAAATGGAATTATGCAGATTGGATTGGCAAAGTAATGGCTCCTGAAACAAACCCAAAATCCATAGCCACCCACCAAATTGCATAAAAATGGAGCTGTGACCCAGAGACAATACATTGCTGTCCCAAATGCAATTAAATAACATGCTGCCAATACAGCTGTTGGTATATCACTGTAGCTTGTAAAATAATCAGTTACTTTTTCAGGACTAAAGGTTATGTGATTTATCAGAATACTGTCAATATTATTCTTTTTTAAGAAACCAAGTATAATGGAAAGGGGAAAAAATCAAATAAGGCCCAACAAGGTAGGGCCATAGCTATCATGTGTTTGAATCAGAGGTTTGAACTTTATTATTTAAAAAATGATGTAAATCAGATGATTGGAGACGTTTCACTATCATTGAATAACATAAGCGTCCAAAATGATGCCAGGAACATCACATTTATTATTTTTTCACTCTTCACAAAACTCTGTGGAGTGGGGATTGTCGTCACCCATGTTTTGCTGATGAGGAAACCAGGTGGAGTGAAGGTACACTACTTATCTGTGGCCATATGGGAAGGGCTCTGGCCCTGGAGCCCAGTACTGAGCTGTCACTTCTTGTATCCCTATTTTGGGAGATACATTCTATTCTTGCATTATGTCTGCTCTTCCCTTGTTTCTTTGCTAACACGAGAGCTATGCCTGCTCCAAAATGCTATATTTTTCTCTGTGGTTGGCTGCCTTTGTGAATGCTGACTCTAACCTCTCTTACCACCATTGAAAGTGGCCTATAGCAAGGAGTTCAAAATCCTTCCTAGTTCAAGTACCCTACTTGTCCTTACTTTCTGATGGAGAATGAGCTCACCAGGTGCAGATGACCCATTGTTGAACTGCAATAGAATATGATTAAGAGCATTAGGTCTCGAGTTAGACTACCTGAGTTTGAACCGCCACTTCCATGACTTACTAGCTCTGTGAAAGTGATTTGGGACAAGTTACTTAGCCTCTCTATTCCTCAATCTCCTAATCTGTAAAATAGAGAGGAGAGTAAAAGGGTAATGAATAAATATATGCTTAGAACTGTGATTAGCACAAAGTAAATGCTCAATATGTTGTAGTTGTGTTTTTTTGTTGTTAAATATTAGTAATTAGAAACTTTGAGCCCAGCTATGTGTTCATGTGTAACAATACCCAAACAATTCACACCAAAAGAAACTTTCAGTGACAAAACAAGAAGAAATTCAGTGGCTAAGAGTGTGGACTCCAAAACCAGACCACTGTCTTCAAATCTTAGCTTGTCACTCCCTAGCTGTGTGACTTTGGGTGACTTCATAACTTTTCTGTGCCTCAGTTTTCCAATTTGAAAATACTGAAATAGGAATGTTATGAAGACTGAAAACAGTTTAACATTTCCAAATGCTGATAAAATGCCTGTTACATAGTAAGAACTGCCTAGGTGTTTATTGATAACAAATTTAAACAATACTGATAAAGCTCTTTCCTGAAATGGTGGAGTTTCTAACCACCTCTTCTATGTATACGCCCTCTATAGCTTTGCCAGGTGTTAAAGCCCAAATTGCTGGCAAATTCTGGTAATGTGTTAACCTCAGTTTACACACGCCAATTTTTAGCAACCCTTAAGTTAAAGGCCTCAGTGACTCAGTCATTTATAAAACTCACATCATAAAAATTGATGTATCATAAGAACTGAAAAAAGGACTCGCATTTTTGGATCAGTTTTCTGACCATCAAGAAAATTCTTATAGCCCACTGTAAGCCACAGATGATGTGTTGAGAAATTTGGGTCTGTATAAACTTCCCCTGACAGTGTGAAAATTTCCCTCCCCACACCCCACCCCGGGAAACATGCAAGAAGGGCAGCAGCATACACAAGCACTCACTGATGGACGCTTGGCACTGCTGTGGCAACTCCGACAAGAACATCCTTCAACAATGTTTCATGCCAGTTAAATGCCCAGTGGAGCTGAACATATGTGTGAGCACCTCTCCAGGACACAGAAGGAAGCATTTGCAGTGCCAAGTGCTTAGACTTTGGAGTCATTCAGGCCTGTATTAATTCCTGCTCCATCCCTCACCAGCCATGGGACTTGGAGCAATTCACTCAGATCCTCTGAC